CTTCTTTGTAGTAGAATCGAGCTAAAAATTAACGATGAATTGTCTTCTGTCAAACTAAATGTGTACTTAGCATTATTTAAAGTAAGAACATGCTAAGTGTAATCTTAGGTAACCACTTAATTAGAAACCATAGATATCTACTCGTAAATGGGGACCGATAAAATCATAAATTCAATGGGAAAAATTATTTAAATAGGGAAATAAGGATCGCAAGATATTTTATGTACCTCTTAAGGTAGGGTAAATGTAATTCAAACAGGAGTCAGAGGCTAATATGCTTGAACCTAATTGCACTATTATCTGGGGATAAACATCGAAGAAATCCAAATTCTAATGATGTAGTACAATAATTTCAAATTAAAAAATATTTTATCAGACTCAGTAACTTTCAAACAAGGGTCACTTACAAAAAGAGTAGATAGCAGTTATTTATAAATGACTCATGGATTATACATTCGGCTAATCCGTTTGCGGATTTTAGCCATCACAGCCAGTATTATTACGAACAAGGTTTGAAGTATTAAGGCATTGAGGAAAATTCAACCATTAGGCCTTCATCACGTTATGCGACCCAGGATGACTCTTGCTATAACTACGAATTGATATTAACTGAAATATCGTACTTAGCATGACTATATAGCCCTCCAAAGCGACTTATACTTATAACGGAGTTAGTTTATTTTCAAGTGTAATCATATAAAGTTCACAATGTAAACAAAAACTATTTATTTTGGAATCTTCAATAATATTAATGCACTAGAAGTGATTTTAGAAAAAATATAAAGTGCATAAGCAATGCCAAAGTTTTAAGATTAAAAAATTAGTATCACATTAATTAAAGCCTAAAATGCCTTAGACAAAAAAGCAAGACTGTCATATAGTTCGTAGGATGCTGCTAACTTCTTTTCACTCCAGTTCACTTTAGCTGCATAATGTTGGTTCAACCTCGTTTTCGCAACCTAGTTGAGCGACAGAGACCTCACGAAAGTTACCTATCTCTGCGTCCTCTAGCATAGTATTCATAATAGTTTCCAGCATTAGGCAGTTGACTTGGTATATCCCCAGGATTAAAATTTATCACATTAAAGCTAATTACGCTGCCAGCTGAACGTCTGATAATGTACCAAATAAACGATCCGATGCCGGAAATCGTCATAAATACTATGACAGAAGATGCAGAGCCCAGTAAGTTTCACGTCTCCCTGTCACTCCGAAAAATTTGCGAATACGAGGTCAAACAAGCACTATAATATAGTCAACTGGCTAAGAAACTTTTATTAAAAACTTGCATAAATAAACAAATTAAATATGAAGATGAAAAACTATTTATATGCTAAACTTAAGGCAAACCTGATTCATTGATCTATCTCTTGAAGAAGCACTATATAAGGATATTTCAGAGGTACTATTCAGTCCACCAAGGCTTCTAGACCTTCCTTCTAGAAGCTTTCTCTTCTGCTTAACTTCTTTATCCTAAAGAAATTTAATATAAAAAAAACCTGTAGGTCAAAATAAAATGGGTAATAAGTTGCTAAAGATGGAGTTCATACACTATACTTATCTAAAGCATGCACATAATGTTATTACTTTACACTTTCTTTGAAAACATTATCACATTATTAGCAAAGTAAAAAAGAAGACATATGCCTTAAAACAATGTATCAGCACATACTACAATAATTTTATTCAATATATAGCGAAGATTTTTTAACCTATATAAAATATTCGTTTATAGGATCTTTTAATTGAAGAGTAAGGATCAAGAAATTAAAATATGCTGATTATATATCAAAAGTATTTATCAAACATTCCTAAGGAAAGTGCAGGAAATCATTTTCAAATAACATTTTATGATACTAAACAATATATAAGTATAAAGAAATCCAGTTATTGCAAATAAAAGTCACTTATAGAGTATTAATTAGCTCGGAATTGGTATTAAAATACGTAAAGCAATCTATGGCTTGAAAATCAACTTTAAAAATAAATAAAACTCGAAGTAATTAAGCAATGAACAAATACATATTCTCAAAAATACAGGATAAATGTAGATTTTGCCAATTTCTTTAATGCTTTGACACTAGAAATACTATTATAGACCCAAATTTATGATTTATCTTCTCCATATGACAATATGCGAGTTAACTGCTTTAGAGAAATGAAACAATATGTCCTGTCTACCTATCTGTACTCTCGATGAATTACAATATAAGCCAATGCATAAACATAGATAAAAAGTAGAAAATGTCAAAATATTTGTGTTAAAATAAATTACGATATAACGATTAAAAGATATTTGAGGTTAAGTCAACTTACCAAGAACTTCTGCATTTTTTGCCTAAAACAGTCGACAGACTTAGTCACCCTCAATTCGAGTTTAGCCATCTCATGCTTCTGCTTTTGAAGTAGAGCATCTCTCTCAGATAAATAACAATCATGTAATTTCTTAAAGAATATTTGGCTATCTGAATACGAATTACTTGTTTTTCTTTGTAGAAACCATCATCTATTTTTTTTATTTGTTCACGGTCTATTTTATCCAACTTATTAAGCGCATTCCGTAAAGACTTGTCATCCATTCTAAGAAACCTAGTTATTTACATAATTCACGATGCACGGCCAAGGGCGCGCGAGGAGTTATTCGCTATTTAAACTGGGTAGGAATCAAACATAGGAAAACAGACCAATAGAAATATAGGATTACATTTACCGTATCAAGCTCTTATTTAAGCAAAATTATAAAAGAAAAATTATTATTAATGCTGACTGACGTAAATAATAAATAGATTTGTTTATTTGTTTTACCGTTTGAATTTACATGTGGTAAATTCAAAATACGGTTTTGATTGGTCTGGTCTTTTTTTCTAATTGTAAGTTTTGCACTCGTGATATTATACGTTCAATATGCTGACGATGAATAATCTTAATTACTTACTTTATATCGTTTGATGTTATTTTTTATTTATTTTGTCTTAATAATATATACTTATTTTAGTCCGTTCTTTCTATATACTAAAACTAACTAGTTCTAGGTTGACATCCTCTTAAAACTAATTACTTTTTTATGCAATAGGAATAATCATGCAGGATTTTGTTTTTACCCCGCTCTTACCACCTAAAGTAATTTGCCGCAAGCTCTTTTAATGTATTTTCTAAACAAATTGTCAAAGAATATCTTCTTACGAATAAACGATCAAAGTCTAAATATTTGCATGTAGTAATAGCTGTTTTCATTAATATATTTTCTTTAGTTTTTATTATGGAACTTCTCTAGTGTAGTTATATAACTTCGTGTACTTTTGTCTTGGTACAAGCTTATAGCTTAGCTTCACTTTTATATTATCGCTTGTTAAACCAAGAGTTTACCCGTGTTTTTATAAATTATTAGCAAATTATATTTTCTCATTAAACTGATCTGACGCCTTTTATATTTTATATCACTAGCTTCAATTTTCAACTCGTAATACTCTGCCAGCTTTTCTTCTAAATTGGTCGGTCCGATGACTGTAATGAAACAAATTACATTGGAGTCTAGTTTTGAACTTGGAAATTCCTTTATCGAAGCGGTTCCTGGACAGAATGACAAAAGGTTGGTCCACTCCATCATCTGAAATTTTTTCGTTTATCTATACTATTTTGAACTATCAATTTACATTTGTGCCACTTTCAGGCCCAAGATTAATTTGTTACAGTGAGATTCCGTTGATAATATACCCAAGTATATTACTATCAGAGAAAAACTCGACAAGCTCTGCCTCAATGATACTCTGTCAGGAACCAAATCATACCAATGCATTTCTTACTCAAAAATTTTTCCAACTATACTTCATACTTGGATTTTGGCAGTAGTTATTTTTTCCACAAATAAGTATCTATTTCAATATAGTTAACTTGCGTTTGAGACTTGGTAAATAACTAGGTAAACTACTGATTTCAAAGTGATTTTCTTGCTAATATACGTTTAACTCAATTTCTAGAGTAGCCTTAATGATATTGGAACTTTCTCTCACTCTTAGGCCTTTCTCTCGTAATGGGTCGGTTTCGGTACTCTGTAGGTCTCTGTTAAGAGCTGTAATCATCCTAGATCGCATGATATGATGAAGGGTTGATAATTAAGCTATTTCATAACGATATTTTCAGGTATAAATCTTGATCCTAATGTATTATAGTCTAGAGTAGACTGCATTTCCGGGCACACCTAGGTATTATAAGCACCCCGACTGGGATTGAGCCCGGATAGGTTATTACTACCCCAAACTGCTATGGATGCCGTTGTGTCACAGGTTAGACAAATCTAAAGCGAAGTCGAATTCCCCCATAACTGTAAATTTCGATAATTCGAACTTTTATTTTGTCGTCACGCTTAACTATGTTGCATATATTCGTATTGAGTATATTTCTATACTATCGGCAGCTTTTATTTATCTTCCTTTATCCCTTTGTATCGGGAGTGACTCATCAACTACTATTTCTTATCGTCAGTTACATCAGTCACCCAATCGTCCCTGTCAAGCGGCGTGGTCGCGATAAGAAGTTACGTCGCAGCTATAGTACCTCAGCTATGATGAATACCCGCCCAACTATAGATAAGCCTGCTAAATCATGCATATCTAGCCCCAAAAAATCTGGTGTCGAAATTCCATTAGCTGTTCAGCCACAAAAACGTCAAATTCTCCGAAAAGACGTCTCGAGAGCAACAAACAAGCAGACTGAGCTGACCGTATCAGCAAGGCAGACTAAGCTTACTTCGTTGGGTGTCCAAAGAACTGCCAATAATTCCTCAAAGGACTGCATTGAGGTCGGTTATTTTTATTATTATTATCTTATTCGAAATGGAAAAAAGTTGAGTAATTTTAAAGATTTTTCTCTTGGTCTCATCACGTATACCTTGTTTTTTTACAGAAGAAAGTCTCAAAAAACTCTATAATCGTTCCTATACAGGATTTACCCAAGCTAAATGAATCAGGCTTTTCCACCGATATTTCAGGACCGCTTGAACAAGTGGCCTCCCCACGTACCAAACTGCAAACAAAGTTAACTTCCCTTGGTATTCGAAGAACTGCTAGACAATTTTTGAAGGAGCTCGCCGTATGTTTTCTAAACTCCTACATAAGATCATCTTGATAGTTTATTTTGTTATTATTAACTCTTTTATTGGTGGGTATAACTTATATTTAATGTTGGGCCATACTGTTTATTGAGTCACCTATGAATGCATCAATAAGACTACTCTTTTCAGATCCCTTTTTTATTTTTTTACCATTCTTAAACGTTAATATTCATATAATGGGCTTCCTGTTGTTTCGCATGATTTTTATGCTCCTAACACCATCATCCTTATTCATTCTTATTACTTGTAAGCCTTGTTTTTTTATTAATCACTATGGCCATTATTTTGTTTCATCAACTTGCACGCCAGAAACAAAATTCTAAGAATATTGCTAAAAGAAACGCTATTAGACTTTTATTATTGTCTAAAACTATTTATTCTCGGTTGTTACATCATAAACTGTTCGGTCACAGGTCCTTGCTAAATCGCATTATTAAAAGCACTTAAAATTAACATGTACAAAAACTGTTTTGAAGACTCCTAAGAAATTGATGTTGGAATGCCTTTCATTTCGTTTGAAGATGTGAGTGTAAGAGATTCGTAAGTCAGCCTTACCGAAAGCTGAAGAGGGAGTGCCTTGGGGCTGTGGCTGTAGATTTGTGCAAATATGTACTCGGTGCACCACTCTGCTACCCCGAATAACCTTGCTAAATTTTTGTTTATCATGTGATGGACATTGTCAGTGCAGGACTCCATGCTTATGATTATTCATTAACTACTAAGATAAGAAAGGTAGGATTACAGCCGGCCACCTTTTTTATCTTTATGCTTAATGAATTATCGTAAAGCAATGCTTCCTGCACCGACAATGTCCGTTACATACGGATGAAAGCTCACCCTATTTCGTTTAGAGTAATAAGGGAATTAATTGAATTTTCTCACGATTATGTGACTAGAGCTGAAAGTTCCATCTAATTTCATATAGCCTTGCTTTCCCAAAAGGTCTTCTCATCCAGGGTAAACTGACGTTTCGGCCTCGCCGTGGTGTTATCAACGCGCCTAGCGGGAGTTGAACTATGACATGCAGTGTGTAATCTCGAAACTTTAACCACTGCGCCACATTGCCACGAGTAACATTGTTTCACAGAGCAGATGTGCATTTTAAGGAAGGCCAGGCATTTTCCCATATATGCAACTACCAGTCCTACATCATCTTAAACAAAATGGAGTTAATACATCGCATACAGCTTTTACTTTGTTTTAAGTCTTGTAGAAAAAAACTTTGTTCTGTCTTACTAAATCTCCATACCGCTTGTTTCGTCCAAATATTCCCGTCCTTGAATTGTGATATTTCACTCATTTCATTTATTTTACCTTTGTTCCAGCGCGAACGCGAATCTGACTATCTCCGGTCCCTTCGAGACAATATAGAAACTGGAATGCGTGTAGGTTTTGAATGCTATGGTCTTTCAAGTTTCAGATTTATGCTATTCCTTTCCTATGTTTTCAGCCAGTTTATATATATATATATGTGTGTTATTTGACTGATCCTCCAATATGAAACTTCAACCAACTTGAATCTATATTTTTGCATGTAGAAACTGCCTTAGACAAGACATTTAGAAAATTTACCTATATTTTCCTTTTGTTAACAAATTAGGTGATTATGACTGAAGAAAAGGGTCGTGGTGTGGTGGCTTCTCGTCTGTTTATACAGGACGAATTTGTCGTGGAATACGCGGGCGAGTTAATTTCAGAACGAGAGGGCCATGCTCGTGAAAAAGAGTATAAGCAAAACCCAGAATTGGGATCATACATGTTCTTTTTCGTTCACGCGTAGGTTAAACTTCATTTTCATTTTTTTAATCCTAATTAATACCATGACTTCACTTTTTGGCTGAATAAGATGAATGAGTAACTAATACAATCATTCTATCTGTTTATTAAGTTTACGTTAAGGCGGTGAAGTATTCCTTAATAATTTAATATGACTGGACTTTCCAGTTCAAAGTAAAATGTTTGGATTCTTAAAGAGCCAATTCTGAAAGCGAGGGATTGTCTTATCGTCCTTATGGTTGAATTCTGCTCTGAATCTTTTGGTGATCACTATGAATCTCTGCTGGATTTCTTTCTTCCCTCCCATTAGAGACACCTTCAGAGCGTACGAACATTCCTCCTATATCGGACCCGAAACTAAGGGTAAAATACAACAAATTACTGTATTACTGGCGTTTGAAGCTCATACATTCAAAAATGTATACAGGCCTTAGAGAATTTATACACATACTGGGAAACAAATAGTCCTACTAGTAAACATGTGCCAACTTGACCTTCAGAGCCCAATAGATAACAGAAAATGTTTAACCTAGCCTCTATATCTATTGTCTCTTTATGGCTTCACCAATACTTTATAACTTTTCCTAGAGCTTACATTCCAAATGATTCTATTATTTTAATGAGATACTAATATTCTTTGAACACCCAGATGTGGCTTTGCATTTCTTTCTAACCAGTGTTCCCACATGAAGTTAAGATGAATAAATGCCTCAGTTCATATTACCAATAAGGATGATAGTTGCTTAGGTACTTTCCTGTTAGTCATATTAACAATAATATTGTAGGGTATAATTTAGTACTGTTTGAGATAGTAGCTTAGTCTATATTTGAACAACAGCTAATTTTAATAGTCTACGGTGAGCACTGTTCTAATTAATTCGTACTAATTATTTGCCTTGCTCCCAACCCGCTATCAATTAGAATACATAAACGAAGATATGAAGGCCAAGATTGTGTGGCCTTTTGTGTGGTCGCAGTCTCCTTTTGTTGTATAGAAGTTGTTTGACCTTCTTTTCGCAACTTGGTCATATTGGTAGGAAGACTTAGAG